TGGTACAATTTTTCCATTGGTGAAATATCTTGGTGAAACCTTTCACCATGTTCGTCACTAACTGCTTCACAGTTCACTGGAAAAAAGTCTCAATGTGAGTCCAAAAAGTGCATTTTAAGTGACATGTTACATCCCATGTTCTTGTAAGCCTTAATGAAGTTTTCCACCAATTCTTCATAGTTGCCTTCCCATATGTTTCCGAGAAATCTCTTCACCACTAACTTGAATGTCTCCCAAGCAGCTTTCTCCTCCCCATGAAGGTCTGATTCAAAGTCACCATCTTTATGAAGCTATAGAATCTGAGGACCATTGAAGACTCCCTCTCTTATCTTAGCGTCGCTCAGTGAGAGGAATTTTGATGTTAAATACTTGAATCCCTGACCGGATTTGTCCATAGCTTTTACAAAGTTTTTCATGAGCTCCAGTTGTATGTGTAGTGGTGGTAGAAAAATTTTGTTTAGTTCAATGAAAGGTGGATGTTAAACATTTTTTATCTCAGGCTCTAATGAATGATGTGGCCAGTCTCTCCTGATGTAGTGGGAACCTCTTGCACGGCTGTCCCATTCTCATAGAAAGCAGCAGTACTTGGTGTTTGTCTGCGAAAATCACCTACCTTTCACCTCAAAATATAAACTTGCACATCACAATCACCTTCTATGACTGCTGGAACAATAATGAAGGTTAGTGAGATTGTGAGTGTGGTAAGAAACACACTGCCGCAAGTCTGTTGGAACCTGTTGTGACACGTAGGTGTATATTGAAAAGTAGAGCTAGCAAGCAATTTTAACCATGGGATCCACATTTCATTATAATGAAATGTGGATCCCAGGATACACTCTTTTTAGATGCAACCATAAAAACTTGCAACAAGGGGAGTGGGAGAATGAAAAACACGAAAGGGTCATTGTATGCAAAATGCAAGAGGATACCTGGAGGTTATTCCGGAGATCAACGCCCCCGCGGCCCGGTCTATGACCAGCCCTCCCGATGGATCAGGGCTTGATCAACTAGGCTGTTACTGCTCACCGCACGCAGTCCAACGTACGAGCCACAGCCCGGCTGATCCGGCACTGACTTTAGGTATCTGTCCAGCTCTCTCTTGAAGGCAGTCAGGGGTTTATTGGCAATTCCCCTAATGCTTGATGGGAGGCTGTTGAACAGTCTTGGGCCCCGGACACTTATGGTGTTTTCCCTTAGTGTACCAATGGCGCCCCTACTTTTTATTGGGGGCATTTTGCATCGCCTGCCCAGTGTTTTACTTTCGTAGGGAGTGATTTCTGTGTGCAGATTTGGGACCATTCCTTCCAAGATTTTCCAAGTGTAGATTATGATATATCTCTCCCTCCTGCGTTCCAGCGAGTACAAGTCAAGTGCTTCCAAGCGTTCCCAGTAGTTAAGGTGCTTGACAGAACTTATACGTGCAGTAAAGGATCTCTGTACACTCTCTAGATCTGCGATTTCACCTGCTTTGAATGGAGATGTTAATGTACAGCAGGATCAACAAATAGAATGAAAGAAACATATTAGAGATCAATATGTGATAAGGTCAAGTGACAGATCAATTAAAGAAAGCAGTAAGGCATCTCGACGACTAGGAAAACGATGGGGTGGATAATAAAAACTTTCAAAATGGGAAATAATGCCAGTGGTGCCACTCTTCAAACCACTTGCTCAGTGCTGAGGGAATTAAGAAAGGAAAAATCTCCTGGATTCCTGGATTTAATGTACTGAATCTTTAGATTTTTTAATATGAGTAACATGTATTTGACATTTCTAGTACATCCTGGAAATAGTTTTAATATATTCCTCTTTTAAATAATTTTGCTGATCTTTAAAGAGAAACACAACACCATCTAGGTGGTAGAACAAGTGGAAAACAACACCATCATTTTTTAAAAACCACCTGGATTCCCAAAAACTGCACAATCCAGGGTAACATGGGTTTAGAGCAGGTCGCTCCTGCCTCTCACAACTACTGGATCACTATAATATGGCCTTGGATGCACTGGAAGAAAATCAGAATGCAGATGTAATATACACAGACTTTGCAAAAGCATTTGACAAATGCGATCATGGCGTAATAGCCCATAAAATAAGTGCTAAAGGAATAACTGGGAAAGTGGGGAGATGGATCTTCAACTTCCTAACAAATCGAACACAAAGAGTAGTGGTTAACCGAGTTAAATCGGAGGCTGCCATAGTGAAGAGCTCTGTTCCACAAGGCACAATACTCGCCCCCATCTTATTCCTCATCTTCATATCAGACATAAACAGAGATATACACCACAGCACCGTATCATCCTTTGCGGATGATACTAGGATCTGCATGAGGCTGTCATCTGCTGAGGACGCGGTTAATAACCTCCAAGAAGATATAAACAAAGTTTTTTAGTGGGCAACGGAAAACATTATGATGTTGAATGAGGACGAATTCCAACTACTCCGTTATGGAAAACTGGAGGAAATAATAACTAGAACAGAGTATACCACAAATTCTGGCCATATAATAGAGCGGAAAAATAATGTAAGGGATTTGGGTGTAGTAATGTCTGAGGATCTCACTTTCAAGGATCACAACAGTGCCACGATCACAAGTGCAAAGAAAATGATAGGATGGATAATGAGAACTTTCAAAACGAGAGATGCCAAGCCAATGATGATCCTTTTCAAATCACTTGTTCTCTCTAGGCTGGAATACTGCTGTACGTTAACATCTCCATTCAAAGCAGGTGAAACTGCAGATCTAGAGAATGTACAGAGATCCTTTACTGCACGTATAAGTTCTGTCAAGCACCTTAACTACTGGGAACGCTTGGAAGCACTTGACTTGTACTCGTTGGAACGCAGGAGGGAGAGATATATCAAATCTACACTTGGAAAATCTTGGAAGGAATGGTCCCGTATCTGCACCAGAAATCACTCCCTACGAAAGTAAAAGACTGGGCAGGCGATGCAAAATGCCGCCAATAAAAAGTAGGGGCGCCATTGGTACACTAAGAGAAAACACAAATAAGTGTCCGGGGCCCAAACTGTTCAACAGCCTCCCATCAAGCATTAGGGGAATTGGCCAATAAACCCCTGGCTGCCTTCAAGAGAGAGCTGGACAGATACCTAAAGTCAGTGCCGGATCAGCCGGGCTGTGGCTCGTACGTCGGACTGCGTGCGGCCAGCAGTAACAGCCTAGTTGATCAGGCCCTGATCCATCGGGAGGCCTGGTCGTGGACCGGGCCGCGGGGGCGTTGATCCCCGGAATAACCTCCAGGTAACCAGGTAACAACACCATCTAGGTGGTAGAACAAGTGAAACACAACACCATCTAGGTGGTTGAACAAGTGAAACATAACACCATCTAGGTGGTGGAACATGTGAAACACAACACCATCTAGGTGGTAGAACAAGTGAAACACAACACCATCTAGGTGGTGGAACATGTGAAACACAACACCATCTAGGTGGTAGAACAAGTGAAACACAACACCATCTAGGTGGTAGAACAAGTGAAACACAACACCATCTAGGTGGTAGAACAAGTGAAACACAACACCATCTAGGTGGTTGAACAAGTGAGACACAACACCATCTAGGTGGTTGAACAAGTGAAACACAACACCATCTAGGTGGTTGAACAAGTGAAACACAACACCATCTAGGTGGTAGAACAAGTGAAACACAACACCATCTAGGTGGTAGAACAAGTGAAACACAACACCATCTAGGTGGTAGAACAAGTGAAACACAACACCATCTAGGTGGTGGAACATGTGAAACACAACACCATCTAGGTGGTAGAACAAGTGAAACACAACACCATCTAGGTGGTAGAACAAGTGAAACACAACACCATCTAGGTGGTAGAACAAGTGAAACAACACCATCTAGGTGGTAGAACAAGTGAAACACAACACCATCTAGGTGGTAGAACAAGTGAAACACAACACCATCTAGGTGGTAGAACAAGTGAAACACAACACCATCTAGGTGGTAGAACAAGTGAAACACAACACCATCTAGGTGGTAGAACAAGTGAAACACAACACCATCTAGGTGGTAGAACAAGTGAAACACAACACCATCTAGGTGGTAGAACAAGTGAAACACAACACCATCTAGGTGGTAGAACAAGTGAAACACAACACCATCTAGTGGTAGAACAAGTGAAACACAACACCATCTAGGTGATAGAACAAGTGAAACACAACACCATCTAGGTGGTAGAACAAGTGAAACACAACACCATCTAGGTGGTGGAACATGTGAAACACAACACCATCTAGGTGGTAGAACAAGTGAAACACAACACCATCTAGGTGGTAGAACAAGTGAAACACAACACCATCTAGGTGGTGAACATGTGAAACACAACACCATCTAGGTGGTAGAACAAGTGAAACACAACACCATCTAGGTGGTAGAACAAGTGAAACACAACACCATCTAGGTGGTAGAACAAGTGAAACACAACACCACCTAGGTGGTTAGAACAAGTGAAACACAAACACCATCTAGGTGGTAGAACAAGTGAAACACAACACCATCTAGGTGGTAGAACAAGTGAAACACAACACCATCTAGGTGGTAGAACAAGTGAAACACAACACCATCTAGGTGGTAGAACAAGTGAAACCAACGCCATCTAGGTGGTAGAACAAGTGAAACACAACGCCATCTAGGTGGTAGAACAAGTGAAACACAACGCCATCTAGGTGGTAGAACAAGTGAAACACAACACCATCTAGGTGGTAGAACAAGTGAAACACAACGCCATCTAGGTGGTAGAACAAGTGAAACACAACGCCATCTAGGTGGTAGAACAAGTGAAACACAAACGCCATCTAGGTGGTAGAACAAGTGAAACACAACACCATCTAGGTGGTAGAACAAGTGAAACACAACGCCATCTAGGTGGTAGAACAAGTGAAACACAACGCCATCTAGGTGGTAGAACAAGTGAAACACAACGCCAACTATTTTTTTTTTAAATTACTTAATTTTTGTTTCAGTTGGTCAGTGTGATGTTGCGGCAGCAGGATGATGATAATGATGATGATGATGATGATGATGACGATGATGATGATGCCTCTTGTCACCACAACATAAACTGTGTCGGGGTAAGTAGGCCTAAGGCCTTCATCTCATCCAATTTGATCCTGATTTGCATTTTCCGGCTGGTTACAGAAGATTCCAGAGGTCACAACCCGGACATAAACCAGGTCTCTTTTGTGATGGCCTGATCAACCAGGCTACTGGTGCTTGCTGCATGTAGTTCGTCTTAGGCACCACAGGCCGGTTGATCAGAAACTAACATGGGGAACTTACTCAGTTGCCACGAAGCTGCTTCTAATACTGCTTATGTGAGAAGGGATTGAGTTGAAAAGTCTTGGTCCCTTTACACTTACTGAGTTATGTCAGTGTGTTTATTGCACTGCAAGAGATAACTCAATAAGTGAAAGTATTTGGCATCGTCTGTCAAATCACTTGCTTTCATAGTGAGCAATTTCGCAGTGCAAATCTGGGATCAATCCCTCTCAAATTTTCCGGGTTTCAATTATGATATATCTGTTTTTCCTACACGCTACTAAGCACAATTGAGAATAAATTAGGCCTTCCCAATAATATAGGCATTTAACTGCATATATATGGGCAATGAACCTCTGCATATTTTCAAGATCTCTTATTTTTGACTTTCTTTAAGAGAATGTTAGAGTACAACAATGTTTTGGTCTAGAAAGAACAAATAACTTTAAGAGCAACATCGTTACAATGGCAGCTCTTGTTTTGAATGTTCTAGTTATTCATTAGATAATTTTGCTTACGGTTGTTATAGTAATTTTATGGTGATTCTGGAATGTTAGATTTTCTCAAATATAATTCCTAAGTCCCTGGCATTCATTTTCCGATCTATATAAGCTATCTGTTTCATGCTCGGGCTGTGGACACTCTCACTTCTGGCAGTATCTACAGGTATCCTGCAGGTAATAGCTGAAATTTATCCTCAATGTACATCACAGTGTGTACTGTAACCTCTGAGAGAGCTGGCTTATATTAGCTTGGAGATTTGCTGAGGCCTCAGTGAATGTTTTAATATTAGTTTAATATGTTTATTATGCACCCCATACCCATCCTGTGGGCGGTAGTCAAAAGATTACAAAGGTAATGACAGTGAATGACATACAAATTTAAGCATCGTCTGCGAAGGACGATACAGCGCTATGATTTGTCTCCGTCGGATGTGAGATTGATGATAATCAGGGCGAGTACTGTGCCTTGAGGAACACAGCTGTTCATAATTATAGCCTTTAATTTACTTTATTATTATTATTATTCTCTGGCTATTCCCTTTTCCCTCATTTTGCGTGTTATTACATCATAATCACAACAACGGAGTGTTCTTACACAGTCTGTCTGCTCCACATCTGCACTGGGATTGTCTTCCAGTGCGTCAAAGAATTTGCCATGGGATGAACAATTATTGGGAATTCATGGCTAAGTAGAGCTTTACTGCCACCTGTGTGGAGTAGAGCTTTACTGCCACCTGTGTGGAGTAGAGCTTTACTGCCACCTGTGTGGAGTAGAGCTTTATTGCCACTTGTGTGGAGTAGAGCTTTACTGCCACCTGTGTGGGGTAGAGCTTTACTGCCACCTGTGTGGAGTAGAGCTTTATTGCCACCTGTGTGGAGCAGAGCTTTACTGCCACCTGTGTGGAGTAGAGCTTTACTGCCACCTGTGTGGGGTAGAGCTTTACTGCCACCTGTGTGGAGTAGAGCTTTATTGCCACCTGTGTAGAGTAGAACTTTACTGCCACCTGTGTTGAGTAGAGCTTTACTGCCACCTGTGTAGAGCAGAGCTTTACTGCCACCTGTGTGGAGTAGAGCTTTACTGCCACCTGTGTAGAGTAGAACTTTATACTGCCACCTTGTTGAGTAGACCTTTACTGCCACCTGTGTGGAGCAGAGCTTTACTGCCACCTGTGTGGAGTAGAGCTTTACTACCACCTGTGTAGAGTAGAACTTTACTGCCACCTGTGTAGAGTAGAGCTTTACTGCCACCTGTGTAGAGTAGAGCTTTACTGCCACCTGTGTAGAGTAGAGCTTTACTGCCACCTGTGTAGAGTAGAGCTTTACTGCCACCTGTGTAGAGTAGAACTTTACTGCCACCTGTGTTGAGTAGAGCTTTACTGCCACCTGTGTGGAGCAGAGCTTTACCGCCACCTGTGTGGAGTAGAACTTTACTGCCACCTGTGTAGAGTAGAGCTTTACTGCCACCTGTGTAGAGTAGAGCTTTACTGCCACCTGTGTGGAGCACAGCTTAACTGCCACCTGTGTGGAGCAGAGCTTTATTCCCACCTGTGTGGAGAAGAGCTTTACTGCCACCTGTGTAGAGTAGAGCTTTACTGCCACCTGTGTAGAGTAGAGCTTTACTGCCACCTGTGTAGAGCAGAGCTTTATTCCCACCTGTGTAGAGTAGAGCTTTACTGCCACCTGTGTAGAGTAGAGCTTTACTGCCACCTGTGTGGAGTAGAGCTTTACTGCCACCTGTGTGGAGTAGAGCTTTATTGCCACCTGTGTGGAGTAGAGCTTTATTGCCACCTGTGTGGAGTAGAGCTTTACTGCCACCTGTGTGGAGTAGAGCTTTACTGCCACCTGTGTGAAGCAGAGCTTTATTGCCACCTGTGTGAAGTAGAGCTTTATTGCCACCTGTGTGGAGTAGAGCTTTACTGCCACCTGTGTGGAGTAGAGCTTTACTGCCACCTGTGTGGAGTAGAGCTTTACTGCCACCTGTGTGGAGTAGAGCTTTACTGCCACCTGTGTGGAGTAGAGCTTTACTGCCACCTGTGTGGAGTAGAGCTTTACTGCCACCTGTGTGGAGTAGAGCTTATACTGCCACCTGTGTGGAGTAGAGCTTTATGCCACCTGTGTGGAGTAGAGCTTTAATGCCACCTGTGTGGAGCAGAGCTTTACTGCCACCTGTGTGGAGTAGAGCTTTACCAGTGGCTGTGTCCTGACGCTCTTCATAGGATATTTAACAAATGATTCACATTATCTGGAGAGTTTATCTGGAGAGAGTTCCGGGGGTCAACGCCCCAGCGGCCCGGTCTGTGACCAGGCCTCCTTAGGTCAGTGTCCCAGGATGCGACCCACACCAGTCGACTAACACCCAGGTACCCATTTTACTGATGGGGAACATAGACAACAGGTGGAAAGAAACACGTCCAATGTTTCTACTCTGGCTGGGAATCGAACCCAGGCCCTCACCGTGTGAAGCGAGAGCGTTAACCACCAGGCCACCAGAGCCCCACATTAATTTTTTTTTTTTTTGCAAATTTATGTCAGTGTGGCTTTCATGAGATTGATTCTATAGATATTAATGGTTTCTTCAAATTCGACTGGGATATTTGAACTTAATTTGAGTCCATGTTAAAAATTTTGGAGTCGACTGCAGTGTTCTGATCCTAATTCATAAAAATTTATTGTTAATCATTAGTTCACATTAATAGCTTACAGAATACAATGCAGTTATTAGTATCCTTCAGTGCAACTTGCGTCTCCTCCAAACAAAGGTTAGTTATTAGATGGGGCTTTTGTGCTCTAGTTGGTAGCCCTGCCCGTCTACCAGGTGGTAGCCCTGCCCGTCTACCAGGTGGTAGCCCTGCCCGTCTACCAGGTGGTAGCCCTGCCCGTCTACCAGGTGGTAACCTTGCCCTTCTAGCAGGTGGTAGCCCTTCTCGTCTAGCAGGTGGTAGCCCTGTCCGTCTAGCAGGTGGTGGTAGCCCTGTCCGTCTAGCAGGTGGTAACCTTGCCCTTCTAGCAGGTGGTAGCCCTTCTCGTCTAGCAGGTGGTAGCCCTGTCCGTCTAGCAGGTGGTGGTAGCCCTGTCCGTCTAGCAGGTGGTAGCCCTGCCCATCTAGCAGGTGGTAGCCCTGCCCGTCTAGCAGGCGGTATACCTGCCCATCTAGCAGGTGGTAGCCCTACCCGTCTAGCAGGCGGTAGCCCTGTCCATCTAGTTGGTGGTAGCCCTGCCCGTCTAGCAGGTGGTATCCCTGCCCATCTAGCAGGTGGTAGCCTTACCCGTCTAGCAGGTGGTATCCCTGCCCATTTAGTAGGTGGTATCCCTGTTCATCTAGCAGGTGGTAGCCCTGCCCATCTAGCAGGTGGTAGCCCTGCCCATCTAGCAGGTGATAGTCCTACCCGTCTGGCAGGTGGTAACCCTGCCCATCTAGCAGGTGGTAGCCCTACCCGTCTAGCAGGTGGTATCCCTGCCATCTAGCAGGTAGTAGCCCTGCCCATCTAGCAGGTGGTATCCCTGCCATCTAGCAGGTAGTAGCCCTACCCGTCTAGCAGGTGGTAGCCCTGCCCATCTAGCAGGTGGTATCCCACTTTCCCATTTGAAAACTTCTCAATTTATTCCTGGAATATTTCTTACGTGTGTGGGGTAACATGTTGCGTCATGTTGATCACAGAGATTGACACAGCTCTCTAAGTCTACTTACGACATTCCTTCTTTTAATACCTGAAGGATACCTGAATTATGTTTTTTTTTTTTGGGGGGGGGGTTAGTGCTCCCGCGACCTGGTCCCACACCAAGCCTTCTGGTGGATTAAAGCCTGATCAGTCAGGCTGTTACTGTTAGCTGCACTCGGTCCAGTACATGAACTACAGTTTGCTGTAGGCACTGTTTTGGCACCTCTGCTGTTTCTTATCCTCATAGCATAGATAAAAACACTCATCTCATTTTTGTATCATCCTTTGCTTATGACACTAAAATAAGAAAGTAAGTCACTACGGTAGAGTACACTGAAAAATTACAGGAAGACATAAACAGGGTTTTCCAGTGGGCAACAACAGCGGAGAACAACATGACGTTCAAGGTAAGTTCCAGCTGCTTAGGTATAGAAAGAGTGAAGAACTCAAAAGGAACACTGTCTACAAAACTCAAGAGGGTCACCAAACAGAACGAAAGGAACACTTAAAAGACTTGGGAATAATTATGTCAGCTGACCTTTCTTTTAAAGACTATAACAAAACAAACATCACGACAGCCAGGAAGATGACTGGGTGGGTATTGAGAACTTTCAAAACAAGGGAAATAATGCCAAATCGCTAGGGCTCCCT